CGCACTAAACACTACGCGGCTCGCTTGATCCAACTGTGTTGGAGTGGCGAGACCTGTGGCGGCTTCCCTTGCTCTTGCTCCTTGCGATGTGGCGATGCGGCGGGGTATAAAGTGAGCGGCAGCGAAAGTTCGAGATGTTTCACAGAGGTGGTGTGCTGTCGCGTCCAGAAGGACCTTTTTTTTTAGGAAAGCGTCCAGAAGGACCTGGAGCCACTTGGAAGAACGCATGGCTAGGAGCGCCTACGCCCTACGGCCTACGGGGAGCAGCTGCTTCAGTAAAATGCTCTTGGGCCACAGTTAGGCCGATTTTTCGTGGGCCGGTTGGGCTCCTGCCTACAAACACGCGGCACTTTGCAGATGAACGAGATCCATGTACGACGGTACGAGGTCTGGCGTGAGGCCTCAGTACCTGACTGAAGGATGGGGGCCTACCTCTGTCTAGGTCTAGGTCCCGATTGGATGTGCTCACTTTAGCGTACTGATTTTTAGCAGCAAGTTTCTAGCACAACTTTTCGCACTTGCCTGTTTAGATCAACTCCAACTCATATTATCATTCTACTCCTGTCTTCTTAGATAGGTTTTTCACTTTCTCGTTCCTCCTATCTCCTTGTCATGGCCTTATGGGCTTCACCATGTCAATAGACTAGGTCTTCAGTCTGTTCGGGAGGTCGTAAACGATCGTAGATTATTTACTGTTGGCTGGTTTAGTGTGAGAGAAAAATATTGTTCCGATTGAAAATTTACAATCATTTACGAGCAAACGAACAGACTGCTTGTTTGATCGTAGTGTGTAATAGCTAGTATGCTAAAATTAACAAAAGATAGATCTAAATAAGTTGTGCTAGCTAAGCCAGCTTTTCACGTATAGATATATTATATTAACAATCTATTTACAAGAAGGATGCTAGCAAACGCTAAAAATTAGCATAATAGAACTAGAACATCCAAACATGCTACAAGCCGCTGTAATGAGCGAGCATACATTTTCATATGTATATGGTTTTTTTTAGCATATATGTATATGGTTGAAAATGACGGAGGACAAGGATAGAAACAGGAGCGGCCGAGCGGGTTTAACCCGTCCATTTTCTCAGGATACCGTATTTTTTTAGCAGACTCAGAATACCGTATTTAGATACAAAAGTCCCGTATTGGACCAGTTTTTCTCAAAGGAAAAAGTCCACATTACATCCTCAACTTTCGTGAAAAGTTCACTTTTCCTCCCCAAACTCCAAAACCAAGCAAACATCTCTCTCAACTTTTAAAATCGTTCATCGTATCTCTCTAGTATGTTATAAGCGGTTTTAAAGACGTTTTTATCTTTATCTTTTTTTATTTATTTTGGCTGAATCTTTGAAAAATCATAGTAAAACACAGAAAAATTATAAAATAGAAAATTCAATTATGTTGGACTCTACATGAGTAGATCTACACAGTGAACATATAATATGGTATGCTTTAGTATAAAGTTTATGTTGTGGCTTTAGATCTATGCTTTTCTTTAATTAAATGGAATAATTCATAGCCGTAGTTTCTATGATCCAATTATGGTAAACTTTTTATGGTGGGCTAATTATTATATGCTTAAACTGTAGTAAAAAATCCATACTCATTCAATCATGTATAGCTTAGTCATAGATTTATTTATATTTAACAAGCATAAACCTAAATAAAATCTATAACTAAGTTATACATGATCGAATGAGTATGAAATTTTTAATACAGTTTAATCATATAATAATTAGTTCACTATAAAAATTTCATCATAATTGGACTTTTTCTTTTCTCAATCAAGATAGACCCAACAGGCAATCCCCTAAGGCCCAACAGCTGAAAGCCTTCCGCAGCCGCCCAACAAACACCATGTTCGCTTGTTAGTTTAAGCCAGACTTATTCAACCAGTCAACAGTGTTTTCCTCTTACAATAAACCAGCACCAGCCAACTCAAACTAGCCCAGAAACCAACCAGCGAACACGCCAAAAACCAAATCCTACCTTGTAACATGGCACGGTCCTTCTGCGTAGTGCTATCTCTAAAAACAGATCATGCTTTGTACTACCCATATCAAGAAAAATATAATCGCTCCATCAAAACGAAATACAAATCTTGCTTTTTTAGTCAATTAATTTTCAGACTAACTAGGTTTATGAAAAAACGAATTAACTCCTAATAGGTTTATTGACAAGTTGTTGTAGCTACAGCTACAATTTCCTTCCGCCACAGCAGTGGCGGTGGCTTCGCGCATCCCAACTAGCACTACTTTTATGGGTCAGGTCAACTAGCCAATAGGTTGATCTGATCTATTTTTTTAGGCACCCATAATAGTTAGAGCTAGTTATTCAGCATGTTCGTTTGTTGGTTTCAGTCAAGGCTTATCAGTCAACCAACAGTGTTTTTCTTTCACAAAAAATTAGCACCAGTCGAGCTTATCAGCCCAGAAACCAACCAGTGAACAGACCGATTAGCTCTAAGCCAACTTCTCCAATAGTGCTAACTTTAGCACAAAGCTTTTAACATGGATAGCTTTATATGACACTCTCGTATAACTTTGAAATGTGTACAAAAGCTTAGCTCTAGATTAAGAGCTGGTTTTTCTTTTTTTCTATTAAAATATGAGAAAAATATTTAGAGTCAGTTTAAAAGTCGATTGTTGGAGCTGCTTAGGAAGGTTGTGGATAAAAGTGGAACCAAAGAAGTAAATAATCGACTTCAGAAAAAGAAGAGAACTCGGCAGCAGTGACTGTTTGCATGAAGGAGTGAAACAATGAGATGTACTTTTCATAAGGTTCATAGGGGTAATAATTTCATTTGCTATATGCACTAGGTTCCTCCCATCAAATCCTAGACATGTGATTATTTTGAAACAGAGCAAGTACATTGTTTTCTTTGAAACACAGGGAGTACATTGTTTTCAAAGCACTCGGACAAGAAAACCCAACCACGTTCTCGCTTGGCGAGGCATGGTAGTATCAAGCGAAACAACCGAGCAAAATCTCTCTCCACCATAGAGCATAGACCCGGCTTATCTGAAATCCAAAGAGACTTTTTTCTTGGTCACCTAGGCAAGGCGAGGCAAAGAGACATCTAATAAAAGAACCATAAAGTTCACGATGATTCCAAAAGCGCAGCGTCCCGTCCACCTCCTACTCGCCTCGTTGCCGTCGCCGGCGCTTACCTGCACGGAGAGAGCAGCGCTCCTCACCGTGCATCGGCTCCACAGTGGACCGAGGCGTACCGAACTTCCGGGGGCCCTGGGCGCTGCCTGCGACCCGATTCGCCGCCGTGAGCCATGCGCACGGCGCACCGCGGGGAGTGGCGCGTGGCCGGCCGACTGGCCGTAGTGCGTAGTCCCAGCGACCCAGGCACCCAGCCCAGCAGCAGCGGCCCACCGTTGGTCCGCGCAGCGCAGTGGCCAGTGGGGGTGGCGCGTGGGACCCACGAGGTACAACGCCGCACGGCCGCACAGTACTGGGAACCTTCTGGAGCCGCGCCTCCGAAATATCCCGGCCGTTCCGTCTCAGCGCCATCCGCAGCCAACGGCCCGGATCGCACGCCGGCGCGTGGGCACGACCGGTAGTTCGCAACTGCTGGCAGTGGGGCCGTTGGTTTCTCGAGGCTGCCTGTACGAGTACGATGTTGCGCTGTGCTTTCTGGATGCTGGGTGCGGATGGGCCATGGCCACAGTTCGCTTTGAGCAATACCACCGTCGCTGGCCCCAGTTTGCAGCAAACGTGCAAACTGGTATTCAGACGTGTGTTGACTGTTATCTTATTAGTTAACGTCTTATTAGACCATTTAGTTTAACCATGCTTTCCCGTCGAAATTTGACCCATGGATCAGGTTGTTCTTGTTCAGCTTCTTAGAGATTAGAGGGTTCCAAAGAGATTGATAAATCTCTTACAAACCAAAATTCTTAGTAACAGCACAGAGGCTGATAAATGACAGGCCAATTATCACTAGCGGATGCTTTCAAAAGAACAAAAGCGCGGTAACGACCTTGGAAGATTATCTTTAAACGAGCTATTAATCAAACTTTACCTTTATATATACTTATTTGAATAATCATCCTTTATATATACTACTTCCTCTCTTTAAAAATAAAAGACGTTTAACACAAGCTAAGTAGTTAAAATAATAATTTGAGAGGTATTTTCTATTGTCTTTACCGGGCAGTTATACTGCAGGTAACGTGACAACATACTGTCAGTGACAATCATCAGATGCATGCTTTGCTGGTTGATGGAGTGGTAGAATAATCATCATGACCCTACAAAACTAACCTTTGATTACCACTTGATTCGAAGCCATATGTAGATCATATGAGTTTTATTTGAATGATTAGATCATATGAGTTGACGATCTTAAAAGGATTCCCTTCTCAATGAAGAAGTACCGACGGAGAGGGACCATGGTCACGTTCTGCACTGGAAAATCCCTTCAAAATTTCGGTTAATTTTAGAAACGGCGATTGGAAACTATTTTAGTTTTAGATCCAGTTTCCAACATAGAAATTTTACAAAATTAATAAAAGTTTTACAGAAAACAATTCAATTTCGTAGGAAGAATGGGAATTTTACGGCGTTCCAAACAGGGTGAGCGTTGTGAGCGAGTTACAGTATTTCCGATGACAATTAACACGCACAGTGGCCCAACAGAGCAAGCCGCCAAAAAAAAAAAACTCGGAATTTTCTACGGGGACCGGAGAGAGAGCCAAATTTTTAACGGGCAAGTGGGCATCATGGCCGTGTTTCTGGAGGCTTCCTGCGGCGCGTGGAGACAGAGGGAGAGGAGGGGGGAAGAACGGAGCAGCAGCAGCAGCAGCTGCCGCGTCATCCGCTTGCTTGCTTGCTTCCCCTTCTCTCCCTCCTCCCCCCACCGCCGGTGTCGCCTCTTCGCGTTGCGCGCCCCGCGTCGCTGCACCCGTGGGTAGCGGCAGCGTACCTACCAACCTGCGTGCTGCCGGGGGAGCTACACGTCTCCTGTCCTCTCTCCTCTCGGCATGGACGCCGGGGGAGAGAAGTGTGGCGACGCGGCGGCGGCGGAGGGCGGCGGCGACCTCTACGCCGTCCTCGGGCTCAAGAAAGAGTGCTCCGACGCCGACCTCAAGGTCGCTTACCGGAAGCTCGCCAAGGTGAGAGGCAGCAATTCGGTTCCTGATTCCGCGCCGTCTCTCCGCTCCTGGTTGCTTGCTGCTGCATATCGTTGTTGATTTAGCTATCTAGCATCGTGCGTGCCTTTCTGGCGTCGTTGTAATTTGTCGTGAGAGAGAAGAAAAAAAAGAAAACGTTCTCCGCGGGTGATTCGAGTTTGCAGGCAGATACATTGGCGCCAAGTTCATGTTTCATTTCTCCCAATTCGCTGCCTACTTTCCTGTGCCGCTAACTAAATGCCCCGTCTCTAGTAATTACGATTCAAAAGGCAGTGTGATCTGGCAGTTATCATTCGTTCCAAGGTGAATTTTAAAACCAAATTCGTAGTTGAAATGAAATCCTTTTTGTTGTGTGCGTCAATGTTTTGTCCTACTAATCAGACACACTGAATCCCAATGCATGCCAACAAACGTATGCCGTTATATTCTGTTCCAATTTTAAAACATATTCAATGGAGAGGATCCCTAATGATTCTGTCCAATTGCTTTGCAGAAATGGCACCCGGACAAATGCTCCTCCTCCAGCAGCGTGAAGCACATGGAGGAAGCCAAGGAGAAGTTCCAAGAGATCCAGGGCGCCTATTCTGGTCTCAATCTTCCTTCTCTAAGCACCCTGCACCCGCCCCACTGCTCTGTTCCATACTCGCAAACCACCCCTCACCTGTTACAACGACTGACCAACAACTAATAAACTGAACACCAGCAAACAGAACCAATCTAGCCTGTTGGTAAACTCATTGCGTGGAGCCCTTGTGCTCCCATCCCATTGTTCTTGTGCAGTACTCTCTGACGCCAATAAACGCCTCCTCTACGACGTGGGAGTATATGATGATGAGGACGACGAGGATAGTGTATGCATCTCTAACTGAACTGTTCTTCGTGTTGCATAATTCTGGATATAACAGTAGGGTGATGTTTTCTGCTGTTGTTGCAGATGCAGGGGATGGGGGACTTCATTGGTGAGATGGCCCAGATGATGAGCCAGGTGCGGCCGACGGTAAGAGCTCATAGCACTATTGGTCCTAGTTCCAGATGCTTCTTTGTAGTATTATCAAGGCCATGATTAGTTGGAGCAGCCATATTTAGATTTGGTTGTCACACTCACGCTGCTTTAGCATGAAAATTCCAGCTAGCACTCATTCTTAGTTATTAGAGCTATGCTTACAAGTACAGTCACTCTTGGTTTTACCACTTCCTTTTCGCATAATCCTAGGTGGGGCCACAAGTATATGTTTTGTCAACAAACTTATAGCAAAAATGTGTTACTCTAAACAAACCTAACAACATGTACAGACTTTTCTACATTGTGGTCCCTATTCTGTGTATCATATAGTTTTTAAATCTTTCTCAGAAATTATTTATTCTTATTCTGGGGAAAAAGTATTGGTTTTTGTATATGCAAACTTCTTTTCATGAAGTTGCAAGGAAATAAGATGCTGAAATCTTTTGTGCAAACATGATCTTTTGTATCCTAAACGTGTCAGTTTTTTTTTGAGAGGACATATATATTAGGGTATTAATATTGCATGGGATGTGAGTGAGTTCCCAAGGCCTTGCTTTGGTTTATCCAAGGCAACTTATACAACCTTCAGTATCTTTGTATGTTTCATGTTCATATGTCCACAGGCTTAAAAAAGAAGGAATTGTTATGAAAGCTCCGTATCCTCCATGGTTTTTAGTGGATACTAAAAGCTGAACTTTTAGGTGATTTTTTTTCCAGAAAATAGCTGGAAATCGGCATAATTTTCCTGGACATGATGTATCCAAAAAGTAAATATGAGAATGACAGCACAATAACCTTTGACTGTTGGATTTGTAGAGGCAGGAAAGCTTTGAGGAGCTGCAGCAGCTTTTTGTGGACATGTTCCAGTCTGATATTGATTCAGGATTCTGCAATGGGACTGCTAAGGACCATCAAGCTCAGGGGCAAGCCAAAAGTAGAACATGCTCGACCTCACCTTCATCATCACCGTCCCCTCCTCCTACTACTATAGTAAAGGAGGCAGAGGTGCCATCATGTAATGGCTTCAATAAGCGGGGTTCATCAGCAATGGACTCAGGGAAGCCTCCAAGGCCTGTTGAAGGTGGTGCAGGTCAGAGCCAGGCTGGATTTTGTTTTGGGGTAAGTGCACTTGTCATTATCAATTTACTCTTCTTGATAATGATGCAACATGTGCCAACACTCTCACGGTGCAACTGGTCAGCACAGCACGCCAAAGAAGCGGTTGGTTGAGCCAGCCCGGGTTCGAGTCACGGCACCATCTTCTTAAGACGAAAATCAGGGGGACGTCTCTCCCCTTGGTCGAGTCTTTATAATGATGCAACATGTCAGGAGCTCCTCCTTGACTAGACTAATTCAAGGGAATAGAATCTTCTGCATTTGATGGTGGCCTTTTAATTTTTATCTTGTCTTCTGCAGGTGAGCGACACGAAACAAGCGGCAAAGCCGCGAGGTCCATACACCAGCTGGAGGAGGAACGGCCGGAAACAGAAGCTGTCATCCAAGCACGATGTTTCATCTGAAGATGAAACTGCCGGTTCCTAGCACCAGCAGCTATGGTAGCAGTTTGACCCTTGGCTTTGGTGATATCATTCGTTGGCCCTTGGATGTGCCGAGGGCCCTAGTAGCCAGCAGCAGCAAGGAGGGCTCAGCATGTCGCCTCCGCTAGCTGCTGTGATCTGAAGAGGCGTTTAGCTCATCATATGCCTTATGTGAGGGACTTACATTGAAACTCGTCGATGATACTGCATTTTTCTTTCTCCGTCTGTGTCGGTTGTGTTGTACCAATACATTGAGTGACTTCTAATCGATTCGCCTTTTATCATTAATTAACATCTGGTATATATACGTTGCCGCCTGTTATTAAAAGTCACATACGGTTAGCCTGTTGGAAAGGATCTTAATCTTGAAGGGAGACAAATAAATAACATTGGGGACGTAGCTCATATGGTAGAGCGCTCGCTTCGCATGCGAGAGGCACGGGGTTCGATTCCCCGCGTCTCCATATCCTCTCATTTTGCAATTTGTTTTCTTTTTCTATTGTCAGTGAGGATCATCTGTGAATGGTGAATGCAATTTGTTTTCTTTTCCTAGTGTCAGCGAGGATCATCTGTGAATGGTGAATGCAATTTGTTTTCTTTTTGGATGCTAGTGTCATCTTAATCCACATATATTGGAGAATGAAGAACCACCCACACACAGATCATAAAGATAAATACATTATCTTTTTTTGTTTTCTTTTTCTAGTGCAATTTGTTTTCTTTCTTTTTCCTATCCATCTCAATAATACATGTGTGTGCAATTTGTTTTCTTTTTCTAGTGTAAGTGAGGATCATCTGTGAATACGGTGTGAATATAGTTTAAGATCTTGTTTGTCAATCCCACCTCAATACCCATATGGATTGATTGAGGTGGACTGAAATCCACTCCAACCCATGTGGATTGAGGTGAATACGACTACATCCAAACAAGCCCTATGGTTAAAAACCACCCAATGGATCACATCAAGATTAGGATAGACCTGAGAAGTTTATTCCCGTGTGTCATCGTGAGATAGGGTGCTAACGGTCGTTGTGACTGTTCATTGAAGGTGCGGTAACCTTCTAGACGGTGACCCTCATTTTCTGTATGGAGTGGCATCGTATTGGTGTGCGGGGACGAGAAGATCCTCTCCGTTTTGGAGAAGCTAGGTGGCCTTACCGAGACTTTGTGATTCATGCGACTAGCTTTTGGTTGACGAAAGTCTTGTGTGGTAATTCCAACACCGTGACTAGAAAAGATTTAGTGACTGGGAGCATACCTCGGTGGAGCTTTACTATTTGGCAGTTGATACCAGGTGACAGTGGCGGAGCAACTGCCCAGCTACCCCAGGTGGTTGTCTGGACTTGTCGACGAAGTTGAAAAAAAGTTCTTTTAATAAAAAAAGAACACTGCAATTTGTTAGGTAAATATTTTTGTATAATGATGACCGTTCAGGCTCCTAAAAGCTTTTGGCCTCCTCCACTGCCACGTGATATATCATGTTTTCAGAAGTTTGTGCTCTTATACTTGATCTCTGTAATAGAACTGACCAATTATACGAAATTAAGTAAGAAAATCACCCGTCAGAGCAGACGAGTTAGCAAACTTAAGCCCGTATAACCCGGTAGTCCACAAAATCACGAAGGATTTCAAACCAACTCACATACCAGCCAAGATCGTAATAAGTTTAGCGGTCACCATCACATATTACATAAAAGTTCGCATCACAGGTATATCGGAGTTTAAACATAGTTATTACAAACCGAGTTCAAATAGAAGTAGCGGAAGCCATTTGTTCAAAACCACACACACTCACACGGAGTTCAAGTACAGTGCCAGCTGATGATCATCTCCAACAAAAGCATTAGATGAGACGTAAGGAATAACCATGCCAATGGTCATAAGCATCACCCATCGCAGGATAAAGGCAGTTGATATAGTAGCCGTAATACATCTACCCATCTGCAACAAGTGGGAACAAAATCCTGAGTACGAGAAGGTACTCAGCTAGACTTACCCGACATAATCGAAAATAAAGTGACACCAAGAATTATGAAGGGCTTTATAGTAGGGTAGCTGACTCATTTGCAAAAAGGCATTTTTAGCATTTCAAGAACCTTTCTAAAAGCATTATTGTCAAGTTAATTATTATTAACCTATCGACTACATTTGCACCTATACTAGAGCAAGCATGTGATTAAGCAAATAATGATAACCAATGATCATTAATAACTTCCATAATGTCATATCCATTATAACTGTCCAAGTGTTCTATCAACATTACTACGATGAAGTAACTCAAGTCAAGTGTTCACTATCCAGTGAACGATGGTGATTCGAATCGATTATTAACCAGCTGGTAATTTATTCCTTACACAAACCTCACTCACTCGCTAAAGTGAGGTATCGGTCACCGAGTCAACTATCTAGGAAAAATCTCGAGTTTGCCAGGAACCACATGTACCCGGGGGCCGACCGACTGCCTTTCGGTCTTATCATCGCGCCCCCGTGTCCTACCACGCCTGCTCTGGTACAGTGCGCTGCGGGCAATCCACTCAGCCCGAATAATCTCCCAGCTTTGCGGTCAAAAGGTACGTTATTCAGCCAGCTAAATGTAAGGCATGCGTTCAACATGACCCGAGGCCCAACAACGGTCGGTCCTTAATCGACACAGACGGAAAGCACTACAGTCCAAAACCCTGTAAGTCTCCGTCCGGTCTCAACTTCAAATTAACACTTAGTTATACCATGACTACATAGTTATCTGAGCAGATCCAGGTAACCACCTATAGCTCGCAGGTGACAGGAAATCACCCGACTTCTACCGGTCTAAGCCAGCTAAGCATTGACTCGACTGCGGATACCAGGGTAACAAGGATATAGTATAACAAAGGTAAATAAGGTATAATACAGCAACAGTTGTGAAAGGATCAAGATGCCCAAGAGAGGGGGTGAATTGGGCTAATTCTAAATTTTATTGCAATAATCTAATCCTACGGATAGCCCAATTAACCCCTTGTGCCTAGAAAAATATTTCTATCAAATTAACGCACAAAAGACTTGCAACCTATGTTCCAAACTTACTCTAGCATGGCAATTCTATGAATGTAAAGACAAGTATTGAATTTCTAAAAGTAAATACTTAAAGTAAATGCTCAAGGTAAATGGAGAGAGGAACGCGGCGATGTTTTGCCGAGGTATCGGAGAGTCGCCACTCCCCACTAGTTCTCGTTGGAGCACCCGCGCAAGGGTGTAGCTCCCCCTTGATCCACGCAAGGATCAAGTGCTCTCTACGGGTTGATTCTTCGACACTCCGTCGCGGCGAATCACCCAAAGCCGCTCACAACTTGAGTCGGGTCACCCACAGTCTCCACCGGGTGATCACCAAGCTCCCAATCACCACCAAGCCGTCTACGTGATGGCGATCACCAAGAGTAACAAGCACGAACTCTTACTTGACCATGCGAAGCCTAATGAGAAGATGGATGCACACTTGACTACTCTTGATTCACTAATGAGGCTACTCTCTTGGATTCTCAAATCTCAATCACCTCACTAGGACCTTGCTCTTCTTGGCACTCACAAACGTGTTTCTCAGCTGTTGGAATGAGCAAAAGCAACTCCACACACGAGTGGAGCTTCTATTTATAAGGCAGCCTGAAAAACGAACCGTTATGAGCTTCTGCGGGGTGACCGGACGCTCCGGTCGTGTTGACCGGACGCTCCGGTCAGTTCAACCCGCGAACCAGTAAAAATGTATTGACCGGACGCTGGTAGGGTCCGGTCAGCACTGACCGGACGCGTCCGGTAGCATAAAACCCTTACTGAAACCTTACTGGACTCGACCGGACGCTGAACCCTCAGGATCCGGTCAGAACTGACCGGACGCGTCCGGTCGCAGATTCCCTTCACTGGAACCTTACTGGAGTCGACCGGACGCTGCCTTTCAGCGTCCGGTCACTTGACCTCTCTAGCGTCCGGTCACAACGAACGCAGACGTTGATCAAATGAACTGACCGGACCCTGCGGCCAGCGTCTGGTGACACCGGGGCCAGCATCCGGTCAGTGTTTGACCCTCCATTCACTTCCAACTTCCGAACATATGTAAATGAAGTTTGCTCCAAAGGATCTTAGGCATTCATAGGAGCTACCTAGAGCTAGTTTTGACAAGTGTGCACCACACCTAACTCACTAGACTCAACTAGGTCAAGCTACCCATACATACCCCCTTAATAGTACAACCAAAGGAAAAACAAAGTCCTAAACTACTCTAAGTGTCTCACCAACTCCAATCGACACTTAGAACTAGTCATCCTTAACCTTGTCGTCCATCCTTTAAAAACCGAAATGATTTCCATTGAGGGGGCATGACAACTTTGATTGCCCAATCGATCTTTGTTACCATAACCTAACTTAATTGCCTCTGCAAAACACACGTTAGTCATAGTAATCTTGTATTGTCATTAATCACCGAAACCCAACTAGGGGCCTAGATGCTTTCAATCTCCTCCTTTTTGGTGATTGATGACAATACCACCTCGAGTATGTGAAAGAGTGAGGTTTTTGACGGGCTTGGTTCATATAAGCTTTTGTCGATAAGAACAAAAATGTTAGTCAAGCTTACATGACCCAAGCCAACACAATGTACTCAAAGGATGTGAATTAAGCATGAGTACAAGAAACAAAACTCATTTGCATCGGAGCATAAACGCGGAAGCAAAGGCAAATGAGCATAACAAAAGTGATATGACATATAAATAATGTAAAGTAGAGAGCACACATGTCATATATCACAATCACATAGATAACACTATCACATAGATAGAATAATATGCGTGAAAGTAAACACACGAATGCAAAAGTAATAGTGTATCACACAAATAAAACTCCAAATGTAAATAATAAGCTAATACTATAAAACTAGCTCCCCCTAAAAGTCGCTCCCCCTGAGTCTACATACTCGAACCCTCTCCCCCTTTGGCGTCAAACACCAAAACCTAGGGGTCGGACGGTGGGGGCTGCAA